GTAAACATTCCTCCAAATCTCAAAAAAAATTAAAAAAAAAAAAAAAAAAAAAAAAACCTAACACATGCCCTAGCAATCCCAATCCTAGTTATCTATCCAGAAGAAGTGAAGGCAAGAATGCAACCAGAAACCTAAACAGAAACCTGTATACCAATGTTCACTGCAGCACTTTTCATAATAACCAAAAGGTAGAAACAACCAAAATGTTCATTGACAGATGAATGAATAAACAAAATATGATATATACACACAATGGAATATTACTCAACAATAAAAAGAAATGATGTCTTGATACATGCCACAACATAGATGAACCTTGAAAACACATTGTTGAGCAAAATGTCAGTCACAGAAGGACAAATACTGTATGATCTCACTTACATGAAATAAGCAAATATGTAGCTACCAAAGATAATTCATGGTTACCAGGGGTAAGAAGGAGGGGAAAAGGATGTTTTTCCCTTACAGGCACTGAGTTTATGTTTAACAGTGTGTGGTGTAGTAAATTACCTGGTATGGCTTTTCTAACCCTAAGTCTTTGTAAACTCCATGGTGGAATTTGCTGTGAGCAACTGAGGAGCTCCTGATTGTTAAAGTTATCCACGTGGGGTATTTCTGTTGTGAGTGGCACATAGTAATGTTCTGGGAAGTTCACTCTCTCTCAGGTGTTTAGAATTCTGATGTTATGATTGATTAGTTTGGCCACTCTGCCAGGCTCAAAAGGAGCCCTCCTAGAGGCAGAAGAAGTCTCTCTCTGACTACTGGCTAAGAAAGACATATTGCTGAGAGAAACGTGCTCCTCAGAGACACGCGCTGCTGAGAAAGGGACACAGAGAGATATGTACTGCTAGAAAGAGACACCGAGAGACACACACTGCTGGGAGAGAGACTGAAAGAGACTGTTGGCTGAGAGATGGCGGTCTGAGAGAGACTGAGTGTAGTTCCTGAACTTGAATTGTAGCCTGGTGCTCCCTAATAAACTCCATAATCTGTGAGTTCTGTGTGGCCACTGCAGCAAATTACCAAAGAAGTGGTGGGTGTTGGGAGAGGAACAGTTAGTGCAAGGGCTGGAGGAAGGCAGCATGACTGGCCCTGCAGGAATAGGCCTTGGGCTATTGATAGCGATTCTGTCTTCCTCTTGTGTGGTTAGAGGAGGTCAGAAGATGTGGCCTCCCTGCCCCTTTGGCACAGTGGTAGAATAATTTGGAAAAGGATAGTGAGAATGGGTGCACAACTTGAAGAATGTAATCAATGTCACTGAATTGTACGTGTAGAAATTGTGAAGACTGTATGTTTTGTTGTGTATATTTTCACCACAATTTTTTTTAAAATCTGCTTTTTTGAAGACAATGTAGTTGAATATGTTTATAACTCAGTATTGAAATTTTTTAAGACAAAACATACAAACCATACAAAGATCGAAACTCTGGCAATAGTACATCCATAGATAATTCACAAGTGAGAAAAAAGGAATGGCCAAACAAAACACGAAAAGAAGGAATTATAATCTTTTAAAAAATGATAAAACAGAGGATTCTATCAATGAAAAATAAGTGTTGGTAAGGAATTCTCATACACTGCTGATGAGAGTATAAATGAGAAAAACCACTTTGGAGGAAAACTGGGAAATTTCTAGTCAAACTAAAAGTACTCAGACCCTGATCCAGCAACTCTGCTTCTAAATTCTCATATGTTCATGCAACAAGACATTTCAATGATGTGTCCACCCCAGAACAATGGATGTTACTACTGTATGCAGTTTCCAACTCAGAGTAACCCCATGTGACAGTAGAACTGCCTCAGAGGAGAACTTGGCTGTAATCTTTACAGAAGCAGATCTCCAGGTCTTTCTTCTGGGGAGTCTTTGGGTGGATTTGAACTGCCAATTTTCAGTTAGCAGCTGAGAAGCTGAGCATTTAACCTCTTGCACCACCAGGACTCCTTGTAGAACAATGGATAAACTGTGATATATTTATTCAATGCTTTATACTGTAGCTTATAGACTAGGTTTTATCTTAAGGGAAATAATCAAGCAAGGCTGTAGAGCAGATATACCATTACTTACCATTAATTTTGAAAACTTAATATTAATTATAGCTTATATTTATCAACTGAGTACTATGTACCAAGCAATGTGTTAAATGTTTATCATATATATCTCATTTAATCTTCACAAGAACCTATGAAGTTCTATTATTAATTAATCTCATTTTAAAGATTAGGAAAAGTAAGGCTTAGAAAAGTTAGTTAACTTATCCAAGATCACAGAGCTAGGTTTCCATTTCTCTTTGTCCTCACCAGCACTTATTTTTCATTGATGGAATGTCCTGTTACATTATTTTTTAAAATTACAGTTCTTTCTTTTCATGTTTTATTTAGTCATTCAGGTTTTCTCACTTGTGAACTGTCTACAGATATACCATTGGCAGAAATTTCAATCTTTTCTTTGTATGGTTTGTATTTTTTTGTCTTAAAAATTCCAATTCTGAGATCAATAGTGAACAGATTAATTCAAATTATTATATATTCATAAAATTCAATACTATGCTATTCTTTGTATGTAATTCTGTATTTTTTTGACAGGGAAAGAAGTCCTCAACGTATTGTAAAGTGAAAAACATAGGTAATAAAATAGTTTTTATAAATAAAGTGAGGATAAAAAAATATGACAGGATATACAGCAACGTGTTAACCGTTCTAGGTTGTATAATGCAATGGTTTTCAAATACATACACAATTTCTTCAACATTTCTCTCTTCCAAAGGTGAGCTCTAATTCCTCTCCCCTTGAATGTAGACTAGACTTACTGAATAACTTTTACAAATAAAATATTTTGTGAAGATAGAAATATTTTATAAAGGAAGAATCTCTGGGTGGTATAAGCAGTCAGTGTGAGTGATGGCTAATCAAAAGGTTGGTGGCTCAAGTTCACACAGAAGTGCCTTGGAAGAAAAGTCTGGTGATTTACTTCTGAAAAATAAGCCATGAAACACCCTATGGCACACAGTTCTACTCTGACACACATGAGGTCACCATAGTCAGAACAGATTCAATACCAACCAGGGTTTTTTTGATTTATAGTATACTGTATGACAGCAGTGAGTTTGATTTTGGTTTGGTTGGTCTTTACGGTACACAAAACACCACAGAATATCATAAAATTAGGCTTAAATGCCTTTGAATAATACTGTTTATCATACATTTTGTCAAGTTGATTACCTTCCCTTGTAGACAAAACCCAAAGAGAGCTCAGTACTTCAATCTTATTAGCAATAAAGGAGTAAAGGAAGCAAAAGATGTGTATAAAGAGGAAAGGGAACAAAGTCACTCTATAGCATCTCTGAACCTTTTTTTAAAAAATGCACATAAAAATTGGTGAAATCTTAATATGATCTATACCAAAGTTGATGATATTGTATTAATGTTAATTTCCTAATTTTGACAATGTATATAGTGATGTCAGATATGATCATTGGGGGAAGCTGAGTAAAAGGTACATGGGAATTCTTTGTACTATTTTTTGAGTTTTGCAATTTTTTTTGAGTCTTAATACTATTTCAGATTACAAAGTATTTTTGTTTTTTTTTCCCAAAAGGTCAGAAGGAAATTGAAGCACCTGTCCCCAAACAACATTCATCAAAGGTGGTCTGATAATTACCATTATAATAGAAACTTCAAGAAACTGGTTCTATTTTCAAGTCAATCAATATATGCATAACAATACACATAACAACATGGATGAATCTCAAAGTAATTCTACCAAATGAAAGAAGAGAGAGAAAAAAATAGTACTTATAGTATGATTCATTTACATAGAAAATGAAAACTGATCTATAGTGACAAAAAACAGGTTTCACTGGTAACCGGAGGGTAAGTGGTCCAGAGGGAGGGGCCAAAAGAAACTTGAGGGTGATAGATATATAATGAATGTGGCTATGTATATACATATGCCAAAACTCATCTATCAGTACACTTGAAATATGTGTAACTCACAGGAATGAGAACATCCATCAATACTAATTTACTAAATCAATATGCCAAAGAAGAAAAAAACATATTTCAACAGATACAAAAAAGCATTTGACAAAATCCAACACTCATTCTTGGTAAGATCTCTCAGAACATTAGTAATAAACGATAATTTCTTCGATGCGATAGGAAGGAGTCTATTTAAAAAAAAAAAGTCTATAGTAATCATCACACTTAAGTGTGAAAGAAAGGCTGAATGCTCTTCCCCTGTCAGAAATAAGGCAAGAACGCCAACTTCACCACTCCAACATTACACTGGAGGTCCTCACCAGTGACAAAAGGTAAGAAAAAGATATAAAGGACAGAGATTAGAAAAGAAGAAATAAAAAGGTCTTTATTCACCAATAACATTATTGTCTACATTGTTGTTGTTGTTAAGTGCCGTCGAGTCGTTTCCGACTCATAGCGACCCCATGCACAGCAGAACGAAACACTGCCCGATCCCGCACCAGCCCCACAATCCCTGCTATACTCGAGCCCATCATCGCAGCCACCGTGTCAATCCATCTCGTTGAAGGCCTCCCCCTCTTTCGTCGACCCTCCACCTTACCAAGCATGACATCCTTCTCCAGGGAATGGTCCCTTCTTACAACATGACCAAAATAGGTGAGACGAAGTCTGGCCATTCTTGCTTCCAAGGAGCATTCTGGCTGCACTTCCTCCAGGACAGATCTGTTAGTTCTTTTAGCAGTCCATGGTACTTTCAGCATTCTTCGCCAGCACCACAACTCAAAAGCATCAACTCTTCTTCGGTCTTCCCTATTCATTGTCCAGCTCTCACATGCATACAAGGTGATTGGAAATATCATGGCTTGTGTCAGGCGCACCTTAGTCCTCAAGGAGATATCCTTGCTCCTCAGCACTTGAAACAGTTCCTTCGCAGTTGACTTTCCCAATGCTACACGTCGTCTAATGTCCTGACTGCTGCTTCCGTTGGCATCGATTGTAGAACCAAGCAATGTGAATTCCTTGACAACCTCAATCTTCTCTCCATTGATTGTGATGCTGCTCATTGGTCCAGTTGTGAGGATTTTTGTTTTCTTTATGTTGAGATGTAATCCATACTGCAGACTGTATTCTTCAACCTTCATCAGTAGGTGCCTTAAGTCATCCTCACTTTCAGCAAGCAAAGTTGTATCGTCTGCATATCTCAGGTTGTTAATGATTCTTCCTCCAATCCTGATACCACGTTTTTCTTCATATAGTCCAGCTTCTCGGATTATTTGCTCAGCATATAGATTGAATAAGTGTGGAGAAAGAATACAACCCTGACGCACTCCCTTCTTGATTTTAAACCATGTAGTGTCCCCTTGTTCTGTTCGAACGACAGCCTCCTGGTCAAGGTACAGATTCCTCATGAGTACAATCAAGTGCTCAGGGATTCCCATTCTTCTCAATGTTATCCATAATTTGTCATGATCCACACAATCAAATGCCTTTGCATAGTCAATAAAACACAAGTAAACCTCTTTCTGGTATTCTTTGCCTTGAGCCAAGATCCATCTGACAACAGCTATGATATCCCTTGTTCCACATCCTCTTCTGAATCCGGCTTGAACCTCTGGAAGTTCTCTGTCAATATACTGCTGCAAACGTTTCTGAATTATCTTCAGTAATATCTTACTTGCATGTGATATTAGTGATATTGTTCTATAATTTCTACATACAAAACCAAAAGAAATCTACATAAAGCTACTAGAACTAGCAAGGAAGTTGAACAAGGTAGCAAGAAATAAGATCATCATACAAAAAAATCATACCAACAAACAACTGCAAACTGACATTTAAAAAAATGTTCTAATTATAATAAATAGAATTTAAAAATCATGAAATTCTTAGGAATAAATCTAAAAATTAAGTGCAGGATTTGTATGCTGAAAACTATAAAATACTAATGAGTAATAAATACATTGGTGCTCTGATGATACAGTGCCTAAGGCATGTGACTGCTAACCAGAAGGTTGGCGGTTCAAACCCACCAGCCACTCCACAGAAGATAGACTGGACAATCTGCTTCCGTAAAGATTTTTTGTAACTAATGATTATTTATATTAAAAGTTAAATGCACCCACTTCTGACAAAGCTGATTAAAAAGAACTTTAGGAGAAAGCGGTCCTCTTTCAGACTCCTTCATGCTATGAAGAAACAGGAACAAGGCTGAGGTCAGTGGCCCAGGACTTGAAAGCTCCACTGTTAATGGATCCTTTAAAAACATGATCAACTATATGTTAGAAATATTAACATATCATTTAAAAAATCAAAGAATTATACTTTGTTTAAATGACAGCAACTAAATTGCCTCAAATGTATTAAAAATCTTTATTCTATAATATATAAAATTAATATATTACAAAAATAGGAAATAGAAGATTAAATGTCTTACTTGAAAAAAACACATATTTTCATATCCTCCACTCTTTATTTATAAAACTATTAGCTTAAGAGTGAAATCATCAGTCTTTAATTATATTTAACTGACCTTAATGTACTCTCACACAAAAAATTATTCATCTACCTGTATTTACAGATCTTCATAAATAATCATAAATTATATTAAGTAGGAAAAATCTCCACCTTTAATTTCTCCAAGTATTTTATTAATAAGGAACAAGAAATTATTTAAGATTACTATATTGTGATAAGCATCTTTAAAACTCTTTTCAATTATTTTCAAAGTTATACCCAAACTCTGTTTTCCTTTAACGTGTGTACATACACATACACACGGCAAAATTTCTAACTAAGATCATTATTACTAGTGTCAATGCCTTCCAGCCAAAGACCACCAGGAACACACCCATAGTTGAACAAACAGAATTTACTCATCATTGAAAAGAGAGAAAACACACACCAGGGGGAATCATGGGGTGTCTCAGTCAGAGGGTGTTAAAAAGAATCTCTTACAGGATTTGGGTTTTGATTGGGTGATTTGTAGGAGGGTCTAAAGAAGCAGAGGTTCTCTCTAGATCGGATGCTAACAGAAAGTGGGAGCAATTCTGTGAATGGGCATCTCAATAAATCTTACCTTTGTGAGGGATAAAGCTAAAATTGGTTAAGAAGTAAACTGGTCTGATGATAATAATTGGACATGGACAGTGGTGATAGCTGCACAACATGATGAATGCAATTAATTTCACTGAATTGTATGTGTAAAAAGTGTTCAAATGACAAATGTTTTGTGTATGTATGTGTGTATATAATATACATCCATATATAATACATATATATATATACACACACACACACACACACAAGGAGGGGTCGCTATGAGTCAGGGCCAACTCAACGGCACATAACAACAACAACAACAACAACATATACACACACACACATATCCCACAACTAAAAAAGAGAAGCAATAGTCACTCATTCTGGCAGAGAGAGCGGTATCTAGGATTTTGTGAGTGGCAAAGTAACCTCGTTTTTTATCTATGTTTACACAAAATTATGATGTAGCCTCGTCTCATTTTATCATAGTCTCTGAGTAACCTAGCAGGAGGCTAGTGTTCTGAAATTGTTTATGGTTCATACAATAAAATAGCCTAGCTGTGTCAGCTCTGGTGGTGTATAGTACCTAAGGCATATGACTGCTAACCAGAAGGCTGGCAGTTCAAATCTACTAGCCACTCCTCAGAAGGACGATGGAGCATTCTACTTCCATAGTGATACTGCCTCGTAAACCCAAGGAGGGGTCACTAAGAGTCAAAATCGACTCGACGGCATATTACAACAACAGCTGAGCCAGAGTAGTTTTTGACTGTCAGGAGCTACTCCCCCCGCCCCGTTCTCACTGCTTAAAAATCCATCATTGGACTAGGCTCTCAAAAACCTTTACTTGCTCATTACTAAAATGAAATCTACCTTTAAGGAACAAAAATGCTATATTTCAAGCAACTTCATCAGTAACTATAAAACAGGGACCTAAATCTTTTGTTCAACATAAGTCAAACTTCATTTGTGTTTTCTAGTATGTTTGTTTACATCAATATTTTTGTATTCTTTGATCCTTGATATGCTTGAACTATATCTTAAAGCTATGTTTTTCAAAGTACTAAATTTGATCGTTAATTTTCACAAATGCTTTTGAATTCTTATTTTTTAAAACTCCTCTACCATTCCCAGTTGATGGTTCAGAGAAATGGGAACAGCAGTGGTCCATCTGAAAAGAGGCATTGTCTAGTGGTTATACATCATACTCACCAGCTGAGAATCTGAAGAAGGAAATATTTTTACTTTTGTACCATTTTCTTTGATCTCATTCATCAGTTCAGTAAGAATGTAAGTCTGTGCTAAGTTCTAAAAGAAAACAAAAAAGGAAAGTTTTCTGATTTGATTATAACATGCCTCTGATTTTATGCAATAAAAATCAAAGTTTCAAATTTCATTTAGCAGGTAAAAATGTCTATTTCACAAAAACCTTAAAATTTTATAATTAAACATATTTTACACAAAATGACAGACCTATAATGTCAACAGTAAGACCAGGGAGGTACACACTCATTAGAACAATCAACTATACAAGATCAGAAGGGCAGAAGTTGCCCAGGAATAAGGCTCAAAAGGCAGGAACAGATAAGAAAGAAGGACAAAGGGAAACTGTAAACACAGGGAGGAAGTGGGAAGAGTGCTGTTACTTTGTTGGGACTGCAATCAGTGTCAAGTAACAAAATGTGTATATTATTGCTGAACACAAAACCAACATGCTCTGTAAACTTTCATCCAAATCACACACACACAAAAAAATTTTTAAATATATTTTACATGTGGTAAATGTCACTATTACTGGTAAAACCATGATAAAACATAGAGAAGACCTTTACGAAGCACCATGGGAAAATAAGATGGATGGCTAAAGATAGTGTAAAACAAATGAAAAAGAAAATAGAGAAATTTCTAGAAGAACATATAGCATTCATTTGACAGTCTACAGGTGTGCCAATAAACATAAATAGGAAGACAAAAATGGTACAGTCATCTTGAAGATGTTAAAATCCTTCAGTCTATAGCAGTGATTCTCAGCACATAGTTTTAGATCAGACTCATCTATGGCTGTATACAAAAACAAAAATCAAAAGGTCTGAACCCCAACTTCCTGAACCTGAACCTTTTGACACTGAAACCTGAGAGCTTTATTACTATTTGTTTTATAGGTTCCACATAAAATTCTTATAAACTCCAAAAGCTGATCTCCAAAGGTTGTTTCTCATAAATCAGCAGGAGTCACTGAAAGCAGAGCTGGACTGACATCATCATGAGAGACAGAGGAGACAGCATTCATTCCCTTAAGCAAGAAAACTACTAAAAAATTACTGTATTAGATAAAATTGTCAAATTGCTTTCATATTTATAGTAATACATTAGATGCTGTAAGCGCAATAAGAATTTAATAACTGGGTAATGGCATGATTCCCGGTATAAAGTCTGCAAAATTCTAAAAAAGTATATTCTTCTACCTGTTGAGACACTTTTTATCTAAACTCATTTTCATTGATAATTAAGTGTCTTTTGGTTAGAAGGACTAAGAGCTATGAAATACTGATAAACTATAAATTAATTAAAATATCCTTTTTAAATTTTACAAAGCTTTTCAATGCTCTTACCTGCATGACTGCATTGAAAAAGCATGTATTTCCTAAATTCATAATTCCCTTCACAGATATTACATTGCTGCCTTTTCTTCCCTTCCTTATTTCACCTGTTTCACATTTTTCTTCACAAACTTTTATGATTCTTGAAAATGTATCTGTAAGTTAAGAAATCACAGGTGACATGAGATATAAAATTAAATACACATCATTTGACATAATTTAAATACATTACTTTAAATGAAAAAACATTTCCCCCTTTAATCAGAACAAGAATACAAACCAAATAAATGTCTTCGGTTTTATATGTTATTGGTAAAGCAATTAATTCTAATTCATTTTAATATACTAATCCATACCTCACACCATTACAAAATAAATTCTAGATGAATTTATAAATTAAATATAAATGAGTTAAGTCACAAAACAAGTAGAAAAGACCCAGATCTTAACTTCTAAATACCATTCTCCATTAAAAGGAATGAAGATTCCTTGAAGAAAAGGATGACTGTAAGTCTGGGGCAGTGGAAGTACAAATGAGTCATAATATTTTTCTTGTGCCAGAGAATACAGAAGTACTCAAAATAAGTGATACAAGTAGGTCAAAATACACAGAAGCACCTTGCACAGGTTCCCACTGTCCCAATCTGAGACAATTTGACCATCCATATAAGTAAGGACAGTAATAGATTATTATTTACTAAACAAAATGAGAATGAATCTGTATTGATAATAAATAGATAAGCAAATGAGGAAGAAAGAAAATTCAAATTGAAGAACATTCTATAAAATGCCTCCTCACCTGTGTTCTTCAAAAAATGGCATGAAAGACAAATAAAGGATGAGGAACTATTACAGGAGATCACAGGAGACTAGAGATATGAGGAGTCCCGGGCCAATGCAAATGGTTAACACACTCAGCTGCTAGCTAAAGGGTTGAAGGTTTGAGTCCACCCAGAGGCACCTCGGAAGAAAGGCCTGACGATCTACTTCCGAAAAATCAGCCACTGAAAACCCTATCCAGGAGAGTTTTCCTCTGACATACATGGGGTAGCCATGAGTCAGAAGTGAACTGCAGCTGGTAAGGAGATACCACAACTGAATGTGATTATTAACTAATAACACATAGTGCCTTGCCTTAATAACTTTTAAATCTTTGGCTATTCCATCTCTCCAATTAGCTTCATGGAGATCAGGTAAAGCACTTCCACAGGAATGGGATGTTGGGGAGAATATACATAGTAAAAATTCAATACCAAACAAACAAACAAAAAAACCAACAACCTGCAAGAGTAAATAGCATGTTCAATGAATTTTTTTCTGATGAATTCTTAAGATGAAATAAATTTTATTAACAATCATTTACCACAAAAATATTATCCCAAAGAGGAAGGCCTAAACTTGAAGCCAGGTATTGAGAACAGAGGTCCAGCAGCTGTGCCTTCTACATCATTCTTAGCCCACTCAAACCAAAAACCAAACTCACTGCCATTAAGTCGAATCCAACTCATAACAACCCCCAGGTTTCCAAGGCCATAAATCTTTGTGAAAGCAGAGTGTTTCATCGTTCTGCCATGGAGTGGCTGGTGGGTTTGAACCACCAACCTTTTGGTTAGCAGCCAAATGCCTTAACCACTACATCACCAGAGTTCCATTCTTGGCCCACTAGACTATTTAATTTAGTATTTATTTCCTTAACAAGGAAAGCTGGAGAGGATTTCAATAATTTTTCCAAGCTCAAATTTTCTAGATAATTTAGAACTATTACATGAGGAGAGTGGCAACCACAGCAAGATTATATAATTTGCCATGAGAAATAATGAGAGCCAGATTTCAAATTTATACAATCTTGTTCTAGAATCCCACCTAATGGCCAGTTCCAAATAATTGTCACTCTTGGGCTCATTCTGTGAAGTGAAGATATTATCTATCTCATAGGGTTCCCATAAGGATTAAATCAGCTAATGTTCATAAAATGCCTGGTGCTCAACAGCCCTGAGTTGTTATTGTTCTGTGTCATCAAGCCTACTCCGACTCACAGCAACACTACAGAACAGATAAAACTGCCCCACAGGGTTTTCTAGGTTGTAATCTTTGCAGGAGTCGATTGCCAGGTCTTTTCTCCCATGGAGTGCTGGTAGGTTTGAACCACTGACCTTTCAGTTAGCAGCCGAGAGTGCTTAACCATTGTGCCAGCAAGGCTCCCCAAAATTATTACTTTGTGTCAAAATCAGTCCTTTATGTCCATTGCTTATTTGCTCTCATTATTTTTCTTTATTCATTTCCCCCATATTCTGAATATTGTTTTCTCAAGTTTATCCCTTATTTCTAATTGGATTTTCTGAACTGCTTATATGTGTTTTACCTTTTGTATTGGTTTTATGGTTTTCATAATTTCTTGCCTTTTCTTTTTAACATGTGAAAACAGCTCATTGACAAAATATAACTGGTGGTTTCTAAGATGATTCTTTCATTAAGCAAACCTACTGCAAGGAAAAAACTTTCTTCCAGGTCCTAACAACTTTTCTCCTATCCCGTTATGCAATATTTTTTCATAAACCGTATGACTTGCTTTTTCTCCCTTTATTCCTATTTGTTTAATCTTTAAATGTTATTTATTGGTTGTTACCAGATGTCTGTTGTTACCCAGATATTGAGGAGTTATTTTTAAACCTCAACCTCAGAAACTGGAGTTAATGCAGAAAGGTACTAATAAGGGAGGTCTCTTTTCCTGTTCGCCAGATGTAAAACATGTGGTAAAAATAAACCCATACTAGAGACTGGAGGCAAAGGCCAGTACCATCAATGAAGCAGGTCACGGAAGTACAGAAGCCAGGCATGGAGAAGAAAAGAAGGGGTAAGAGGCCCGACGGTATTCAAACCTGCAAGTGAATGTAAACGCAAAAGAAAACAAGCCAGCCGGTGTTTAAGGAGCACTACACAAACAAGAGAAAGCTGACATGGATCCTGGCTGGGTTTACAATGAAAGCAATCTGCCTCTTAACTATATCTAAGATTCCAACTAGAGCCTAGAATAGGAAGGTTTCAGGCTCTCATTCAGGCTGATGACAGTACATAGCTTCATAGTGATTTTTAAGAGATTTAAGATGAAAGAGATGAACCCTAGCGTAAGTCTGTCTTCTCAGATAAGGCTGTTACTCTGATTACTTTTTTACGTTTACAAAACTCAGTCTCCAACAGGTTAAATGATTTGCCTGTGACTAATCTTGTGATTATAAATCCATTATCGTTTCACCACCTAAATTCTCTTCAGTGATTTGTGTACAATGAGAAGAATTATAATAATGGGGCAAGATTCTTATAGATTTGGGTATATTCAACCCCAAACAAATATGACTCCTCAAAAAAAAGTACTTCCTCAACATTTCTAATAAATGTTGCCATAATATTTTTAGTAAGAGAAAAATATCTTCAATTTGCTTCAAAATAATTCAACAGGAGTTAAAAAAAATATGTAAAAATAACAGTAAAAACATTGGCCATGAATTGATAAATATTTAACATTGATAAATGTTTAAATGTTTAATGAATTGATAAATGTTAAGACAAATGTTTAATATAGCCAATGTAAATGTTTAATTGATAAATGTTTAGTGATGCATATATGAAGATCCACTTTTCCTATTCTTTCTACATTTGCATATGTTTGTAGTGTTCTAAAATAAAATTTTTTTAATTAAAAAAAAAAGATGAAAATAGATAGTTGGGGAAACACATAAACTATATAATTTATATTAACTACATATAAATAGATACACATCATTCATTTAGGAAAACAGTTCCAGAAATAAATTATAATCTTGCAAGGACAAACAACATTTTTTAAACTGTGATATGCCAATAATGCATGTATCTGTGTACGATATTTATCCATCAGTTTCCAAAACATCTGGGAAAGCATCCTAAAGTAAACAATGTTCACAAGACCATCTGGACAAAACTGTAGGCAAAAAAAAAAAAAAAGAATAAACATATGGAAAAACAGATTTTCCCCTTCCCTTCAGCAGTAAGGGATAACAAATGTTGAACCTAGATATATCCACGCTTCACTGTGTGATGCTTTTCAGCACCACCTGGCTCTTCATGCTTAGCCACCAAATATGGACAGCACTGCCAGAAAGAACATGTCCACAGGGCAATGCCAATAAAAAATCTTTCATTTCATGGTTAAATAGCCACTTCACACAAGTGCCAAGGGTCTGTTTGTTGACTTTTACATACATACAAATCTGTGAGAAAATATTCAAAATTAATTATGCTATTAGACTTGAATATTAAACAAATTAGATAATTTAACTAGAAAACAGAATGACATTTTTAAAGAGTTACTTAAGTGCGTATTATTTAAGTGCAAGTTTTTTTACTTTACTAATACCACATTTATAAAACATAGTAATCCAAACTCAATGGATTTATCAAATGTCCATTGTGTGCTATCAATTATTTATAGTTAATGCTTTTAATTTATGACCAGAACATAAAGAATTAATATACAGTGAACATCAGAGATGCTAAGCTTTAAATTTAGGACAACATAATATGTTAGTAAAATTTTCAGAAACTAAGTTCAAAAAATTTGCTCACTAAGCAAAAAACTACCATCACCTAAGAGTTCAAAACTTTAGTTTAAAACAGGGGTACCTGAAGCAGTATGTTAATTACTTGATATAAAAGTATGCGTATGTGTTTTAATAAAAAAAGCAATTATTGCTTCTAATGAAGAATGATTACTGATCATTTTGTTTTCAGGAACAACAAAGGTTTCTCAATACAGCACTACAAAGATTTCAGACCATGTTCACTTGAAGAATTCTCCTCTTCATCTATAAACATAAAAACAAATGCACTAACTAAACTTCAAGATGTTTTATAGTATGGCATATAAAATTACAAGGCTGTTATAGCAATAACAACATAAACTATACAAATTTTGATTATCATTCATTTGTTTTTTTTCTCAAGTTTTACCCTCACAAATGAAAAACACAGTAACATGGAATCTCAGGGTTAGAAAGTTATTAAAATGGATTTAATCTACCACTTTATTTATCACCTCTATGATACCAACACTGTCATCAGATATTACATTTACATACCAAAATAATATGGACCCCAGAATGCAAAGAACATTGAGATA